ATGCCACCTTCTGGCTCTCCAGAGACTGTGGGTGCTTTGCAGAGGACCCCAGAACCGGCCGCCTCCAGGACAGCACCCCCCCTCCCCCGCCGCCACCCGTGCCTCTGCGACTGCCCTCCTTGGAAGCCCTGATCAAGCACAAACCCGGGTCCCCAGCTGCAGCGTGCCAGAGGCGGGCGGGGGGGCGGGGGGGACGCGGTCGGAGGATGCAGCTGAGTGCGCTGTGCTCGGTGCTGGGCCCTCCGGTCCGGCCCTTTCCTGGAGGCCCTCCCCCTACAGGCACTCTAGAACTTTGCTTTAATGAAACTGCCGTCCACTCTCCGGCCTCCCCCTGCGCTCTACCCCTTGCTGCCCACAGCCCTACCCCTGTACCTATTATCCTCCACAACGCTGGGGAGAAGGAGGGTGAAGCGCGTCCCAGCACCAGGCTGTCCCCCCCAACCCCCCCCAGCGCCCCCTGCTGCTCAGAGCCCAGACCCTGGATGCTGAGAAGCCAGAAATGGCCCCAGAGCATCTCTCCCGCCACATTGGCCATGAGCCCACCCCCAATTTGTTCGGTGTTTTGTGTCCATACTCTTGCAGTTCTGTCCTTGGACTTGAGGCCTCTGAACTCTGAGGTGGGACTGGCCCAGTCGGAGACTGGTGTCCTGGGAGGGACAGGGAGGGGTAGGAGGGAACATGGCCGCACCTGGGGAACCTCGCCCAACACTCCCCTCGCCAGGCTGTGCAATGCAGAGCCTCCCCACCTACCCCTGCTTCCTGTACTGTCCTCTTGCCCTCCAGCACAATCGGGGTTAATATAAGTGTGAGAGTTTCTCTGGGCTGGGGTTCTTCCAACAGTCATTGCAAAGAGTGTTTCCTGGAGCACGTAGGGCTTAAGAGGACTAGAGGTCAGGTCTTTAAAATGATGAGACTTGCCTTCTCAGCTGCTGAATCTCAGGGGCCTAGATCCACACAAGGAACTGGCATCCTCCACCTCAAGTCCCCAGGCGACCTGGAAAGACCGCACTCCTGGGAAACAAAGCTATCCTGTGTATCCAGTCACCCCCACCCCCACCCAGACCGGTATCCAGTTTTCTGATACCCAGTTTTCTGATAGTGTTAAAATTAATTATTGGCTCCCAGGCCCTGGGTGGGAGCCTGGTTTCTGATTCTCAGGCTCGCTACCAGTGGGTACAAGGAACAATTGCCCTGGCAAGAGAGAAAGTCCATCTACACATCACCCCGTCTACTCACCACCTGCAAATAAATATTACGGCCGTTACTCCACCATATCCATTCTGTCCTTTTGTTCCTGCAGAGCCACGGGAAGAAGCCAAGAGTTCAGACAGAGTATGCTCTGGGAACACAAGGTTCTTTGCCCTTCTTTGATTAATTGTCCTAGATAATGAAAGCAAGTGATGACTCTGGTTGTGGTGGAAACAGCCCCTACAGGCAGGCTCCTCTCCCTGTGGACGGCCTCAGCCCAGAGGGTGTGCAAAGGCAGGGCCCATGCCAAGTACAGCGCAGAGGCAACGTGGTCATACTGGGCTTTTGCGGGGGGGGTCATTCTAGGCCTTTCTCTCAGCAATGTTCTGCAAGGGAAGTTCCCTCTGTTAGGGGTTCAGGGCAGGAGGCTCTCTTCAGAGCCTCAAATAATGTCAGAATGGCCTCGTTTGAATGGAAGACTCCAGGTAGTGACGGCAGACCAGATGGGATGGGCAGACAGGGGCAAGTTAGAGTGCTGGCTGAGGAGCGGGATCCAAACGGAGCTTTGGAAAACCCAAAGTGTCTCTAAGGTTGGAGGTTCCTCCTAGGTTAGACCCCTTCTTGTACAACCTTCCCCAGTAATCCTTACCCATCATATGAACCTGCACCTCAAAAGTCTGTCCTTCTTTTCATATATACTGATTCCTTGGATGGCCCCAACCACAGATTCTATATATAATCTTCATAAGGCCTCCACCCAGAGGAATGTCCTGCTTCTACCATATTTCCTATTGCTTCAAAATTCCCCAGTTTCCTAGATAACTTCCTCTGCAACACTTTATACACACATGATCTCCCCTGTGAAATATTTCCACCTAAAACATAAACTCAAGGCTGCGGTCATCCTAGAATATGATGCAAATGGCTGACGGTAAAGGCCACCTGCTAGTTCCCACTCTGGGGCGGGCTCAGCAAGGAGGGACCACAGCTCCATTAGGAAGGCGGGTGGGACTGGCATCCTCCACCTCAAGTCCCCAGGCGACCTGGAAAGACCGCACTCCTGGGAAACAAAGCTATCCTGT